TCATTATTTGGACCATAATTATTGAAATTAAGTGTTTTGCTCTTTTTCCCTCTCTTCCTTCCAAATTGGCCTTCGCACTGACCCAAAGGTTGTGGCGCGTGCAAGGTTTTCCAAAGGGAGGGGCCAAAAAAATTAAAACTTTGATTAAAAAAAGGAACATCGCGCTAAAATAATAATTCATGCATATTATCAATAAAAAACTTTAACAAATCCAATTCAGTTCCATTTTAAGGCGAAATATGCGCCATAATAATGAATGTGTGGTCGACTTCATATGGCTAACTTTTTTTAAAGGGGGGCCAACGATGGCCCCCCTGTGTACGCCTTTGGACGCGTGAGAAATTAGTAAAATTGAAAAATCAAATCAACACAATATTGCGGTCGCTTGTGAAAGCTACAAATGCTTTCATTAAATTGCTTGCTTTTACGGCATCGCTCGATTTGCATAAAAAATACAAAAATCTAAGCAAATGGCTTGTCAACCGAATTTTGTGGCAAATGGAGGGAATTGCGATTCTACATGTGTTCATAGTAAAAAGGACATTCACCCGTTTTTGCAAATAGTTTGTTGACTTCAGTGAAAGCCAACAACCAACATAAAATGCTCGTACATTACAATTTCAATTTATGCGCCGATTTACTTATCTGCTGGAATTGGACTTGTCCATTCATTTTCAAGAAATGAGACATTTGATATGGCGACACAAATAAACAGTACATGCCGAGCACTTGTGTAATTAATTTTGAATTTGAATTTCGGAAATCCCCACCAATGCTTAAAAAAGTTTTGCAATCAAGTGCGACCAAGTGGACATTTTCGCCTTTTGGCTTAAGTTGTTGTTTCCATTGAAAAATATATTCCAAATATCAAAACAAACTCTGATGGATTTGAAAGCATCAATTTGTTTTTGTTCTTGCGCATCGTCGATTTTATATGTTTTTGTACCCTTTTCAATCAAATTAGCTGCAGCAAGCTGGCCGGCATTCAATCATCTTGAGTTGATTCAACCCTTTGTATGGATGAATACATAGGGACATCAATTCGCATGTCTCTATTATTATCTTTGTTTTCGTATTAAAGTAGTATGTCATAAAATAGAAAAGTCATTGGTGTTAATAAAAGATAAGCATTGTTGAATTTACAATTCTTGAGGGTCTCGGGATTTCAGTTTCTGAATAAACCCAAAAGGGAGTTGTCATGTTGTCAATTATTATATTTTAACAATTTAACAAATGCATCCAAACTAATTGATTTATACATCCATTTAAATTTAATGAATGCATTCATAGATTTGCAGATTTTAACGCTATCCGTTTTCAAAAGTATACTTCAAACTCTATGTAATAGTATTTTATCGGACACTAAATATAGAGGGGCAAACCGAATATTCTTCCTTAGGTTTAAAAAAGATTTAAATAACAACAAGTTTATTAGCTACATTCCCTTTAACCTTGGCACACACTCTCCTAACCATTAAAAATGTAAAAATGTAAGCCAGATAAGGGGCATTTTTCAATGTAATTCGCTTTCTAAATTGGCTAAAAGAGCTGTGATTTAATTCAATTAGTTTTCATCGCCGAAAATTATTCACTGATTGCTTAAAAACCAATGATACCACGATGCATGCGCGTGTTTTATATACCTTCTTTATTACGATATCCACCTAAACATACAATTTTTTAGTACTAAAGCAAAAACGATCGATTGTTCGGCAGCTTTATAACATAACGACGTTATTTTCGGTTTGCTCTACGTATGGACGTTGTTCATACGGGCAGACGTCTCATCATGCTGATCCTATTCGTGTATGTACCCATAACATGAATTCTTACATGCCTCCATCTGTCTGATGTTTAGAATTTCTAGTATTCCCTTAAACACTTCGGATACATTTCATTTCGAAATCTGTTTAAAATTCGCAATTTTCCTTTGCTAATCTTTTTTGAGTAAACATTTATTGCTCGATGGCACGCTGCTTTACTTTAAGTGCTTTAAACGCCTGTCATTGCTTTAATACCAAACGTCATTAAGCCTGAGCCTTCGTCAATTAAGCAGCTACATATCTGTCGTCGGGCCAATCACAAAAGTTGACCAAAGCAACTTAGTTGCTGTCATTAGAAAGCTGCAAGTGCCCAACAGCATAAGCGACAGCAATCCACTTGACTGACAGTTTTGAAGCTGACATTGTTGTGGTCCACAATATGCCACCGTGGAGGGAAAAGTGACGCCCTGACAAGCTGATGACTGCTAGACTGCTGCTGCAACTTAAGAAAATCATGGCCAGAAATGAGAAAGAGTTGTGCTTGAAATTACGAAGAAATGTCAAATTCTTGACAAATTCAAGCTTCAGCTGAAACTGTGGCTGAGCAAATCCAAAGTTTCGAAAGTTGTTGTGTAAGAAATGTTCTGTTTATGGTTCAGGGAATGCAAAATTAATGACAAATTATTAGATTTCTGCTTATGCGCCAAGTTGGCGAGACAATTGGCGGTTGAATTGTGCTCCAAGTACGTGGTTGTGCTTGACGCTCGACGCTTGGTGCTCGGTTCGGTTCGCTTCGGTTTGCTTTTGTTTTTCCCCTTTAGCCATTTGAGTTATGACATTTGTTGGCACACACGCGCTGCCATTGGGCACGTATTATAACCATGGCCATGTTAACAAGGCAATGTGTTTTCAGAACAATGATTACAGTTGTAATCCATATATGTATATTTGACATATGTGCATACTCATATATATCTGCGGGTTGTATGCTAAAATGTTTACAAAATTATTTACATATTTCAATTTTATATATTTTAGGCATTTCAAAAAATTAAACATTTCAATTTGGGTTTCTAATTTATTTGTAACACTAATTTTAGCTGTAAAAATTAGGTCTTAGAATCGTTCCAGTCTTACTCTAACTACCTAACATTTTATCTACAACAGCCACTTAATTGAAGAAAGTACGTAGTTTTATGATATGAAGATATGAAGAGGCGCTATAAAAAACTCAAAAATACCACACATATTGGTAATTCAAGAGAGACTAAGAGTGGTTTCTTAACCATCGGTTCTGTACTATTTGTGTTAGTTTCCAGCATCCTCTTTAATAGCCTTGGGTATAGGTTAGTATTCCTTTTGAAATATCATTACTTACACATATCATCAAATGTGAATTAAACTAATAAGACTAGTGGTTTATTAGATTATAGCATAGGATATATAGGATACTATATATAGGCAAGGAGAAAAAATATTCGTTTAGAATTTTAATTAAAACCTAGATATGCTTCATATGGGCTATAACTGTTCAAGCATTTATATAAAATTTCGTTATTTTAGTTATTTTTGTATGAACTGTATACTTATAATTGTATTCAAATGATAAATCATATAAGCATGTTCAAAATCTCTTAAACCTGGGCTTACTTTCATTAAAAGCGTTTAAAGAGTTATTAAAATTTTTGCCCGTCAATTTGTTACATTTGTAATACTTTAAAACTACATTTTGTATTTCCGTTCACCAAAATAGATATCAATACAATTGGTAATTAAATAATCACTTTACTCTTTCTATTCAAAATAAATACTACCGGCATTAGCTACAAGGGGAACACTTCACTTTTGTCTGGCCAGGCTTACATAGTATTATCAGATATTATTGTACTATGAATAGGCCAACAATGTGTACTTCTTGCAGTAAGGCCGTAAAAAAAAATCATACAAGTATATGACAAATCGATTAGCTTTCTTCTTATCAAATTGTCAAGATATTTCAACAATTGGTAGCGGTGTTTCTCGAGCTCGACAATTTCATAAAATATAGATTATTGATTAAATGTATAATAAACTCTATTTCAAATAATATGTTTTGCAGATCGTATCGGTATGCCAGGTTAAGCCAAGCAGAAGCATTATTTTCAAACAATCTCAAGTACATCTCATTTTGAAATTTAAATTTATTCTAGCCTACAGATTTATTCTGTGGCTGATATCTACTGGCAGCAAGAAAATGTTGACAGAAAAAACATAGTTAAAGGGTAACAACCTTTTTATTTGGCGACTTTAACAGTAATAATGGTAGGTGGGGCATTAAATAAAAATCCGCTGATAAAGGCAATGCTGCTATCCATAGCAGTTATACGTTTCTCGATTTTAATCTGTGTACTTCTCAGCAGCTGCTGCTGACAAGCCAAGAATATGCCTGATACAAGTATATCATTTCTCTTACGTTTTTAATCGAAAAAATGCGCATGACATTTTGTCAGTTTATTCTTTCGTTCTATGAATTGTGTCTCTTGTGTAAATCAGTATTTGTAAATATGTATGTATGTGTATGAATACATTTTGTTTGCACATGTACTATGTATAGTATAAGTGACCTTGAATTTGAAGTTGGTATTGGACACCATTTTGCTTGGAATTCGTAAAATGTTGCAGCCACTTTAGAATGTAAAATTTATGGCCTTGAGCAAATATGTAAATACCTAAATATATATGTACAATGTCCGTATATGTGTAAACAATATACATATATACGACGTATCTATTGTTGCATATTGTCAATAAATTTTATTGTGGCTGTAAATTCGACCTTTCGGGGTCTTGCCCTTTATATTTTGAAGCTTAAGTCAGAGGATTGATTATATTCCTCATGCATAGTTTCTTTCAGTACCCTGAGCTAGTTATAGACATTTAAATTTAATTTAAAATTTAATTTTTTGTAATCTTATTTCAAAAAGCTATTATCGTTTGGCCGGCTAGAGTTTTAGGGCTATCGCGTAGAAGCTTTAATATAATACCTCTAAATCACATAACTGCCATAGAAACGAGTTGATTTAAAAATACTTTTCGTTTAATATGTAAAAATGCTTTCTAGTAAAATATTAGAAAGTTCGATGACCGTGGAGGAATACAATTTCGTTGTTACTGATAAAATTTAACCACATTTTATTACTACTTGAACTTATTTTTACTTGTAATAGGAACTATGTGTAATACTAGTGATCCGCATATTTAGTTGGCTATGCTTTCGAACTTATAATAAAGGGACTTCATCGGCCCTATACAAGTCAAGATCATCATTACCAATGTAACTACCTGAATGAGAATAACAAAATCTTGACCCTGGCTTTTGAATATGCCGGCCTGTGTGTAGCCGTAATATTGCGCCAACATGGCCACGACAAATGTGCCAAAACTGAGAACCACATGTACCGTCTTGTTGAGCAATGGTGACCAGCAACGGGACATGGAGCGGGCTAAAACGGCAAGCAAGCCACTCAGTAAGCTGATCAGACATAGCACAAATGTTGCGAAACCCAGACGCGCATGCACTGTTACCGAAATGGTGAAATCATCTCGAATCAGTTGGATGAGACAGCCAGCCACGCCCATGCCACCGCCCAAAAGCTGCAGCACCACATGCGTAGCCGTCTTTTGTTTTCGTGTGTAACGTAACGTCAACCAATTGCCATCGTAGAAGCACATCATGGCTTCGGCCATAAGGAAACAAAAGCCAAAGGTCACTAGCCAGGCATGCAAAGCTATTCCTTGGAGTCCTGTGCGAAGACATGTCCAACTAACCCAAATGGTCACGAAACCAATGCACAATTGATTCAGCACGTTCAAGGCAGCCTCGAGCTGTTGCAGCACGCTTGTAGAGTTCGCCTGTGTCATTGCCATTTGTGACAATTGAATTAATTGTTTTGTTTCCTTAAAATATCACTTCTTGTTGGTAGCACTTTAGATACTATTATTCGTTTTAAGAGCACTTCAAACTTCTCCGGTAGGAGGATATATCGGAGAGTTTTAGAACCTTTTTAAAAAGTTGTCATTTCCATATTTAATTTGCATTGCGTAGCATGAGATTCCGTAAACTGCGTTAATGTTTTGTTTATTCTTTACTGCCAATGCAATTGGCCTACACTTTCTTGATGCTCGCTCAGCCACAATTCCCAACCGTTTTCTTGTGAATAGTACAATGTTAATATGTTTCCCCCTTTTATTGGCGATAAGTTGCCAAATGTGTCTCATTGGCTGGCTTTATCAGCAACACGTATTTGAATGCATCAAAGGATTATACTTGTATGTATTATACAAATAATTGAAAAGTCGACGTGCGTAGAACTGCCGCCTTATCGGGGCACTGTACACACGCACACAAACGCACATATAGTTTCTTGAAAACGTTTAACACCCTTGGTAGTACCCATGCCCATTCATTAGAAGTGCAGGTAGCGTCCAAGTTGCACCACTTTAGTAAACACCGCAAATTTGTATGTTCGCCTGCTCACGTTCTTGTTAGTGATTAAAACGTAATCAATGCTTAAAGATATTAGCAGTCATTACTGTTAATTAGTTGTTTTCACTTTTCGTTTGTTTAGAATACAAGTTAGACTACATGCTACTTGTCCGTCTGTAGCCGCTATCGCAATGCAAAATCGCACGTAGTCAGATAAATTATAAATTGGTCGCGATTACTTTCTTACGAGGAAAAATAAAAACAAACATGTTATACAAGTGAAATTTATAAGCCCTGTTTCCAAATTGTTATATGATTGCAAAATTGCACGTAATGGCCTGAATGGGGTAAGTTGATGTTGCAACATGGGGGAAATGGTCTGGTTTTATGTCTACGAATAGATTTTAGAACTTAGTTTTGAAATTGTACAATTCAGTTGAACTTTAGTATGAAATGCCAATAAAATATCTACAATGGGAAGTATTTTATTAGCTAACTAAAAAATATATCTTTTATTCTTATCTGATTATTATTTAATTTTAGTTATTCAGCGAATTGTTCTGGCCCTAATCTATGATTTATCTCTTTTAAATTACAAAAAATGATCAAATAATCAATTCAGCACCACTCACCTCTGTGACATACTTATGTTCGAAACCCTTTTAAGTCATTGCATAAGATGCATAGATTTTGTTGCCACAAGACTGACAACTTGACATGAGCAATATTCATATAAAAAAGAAATTGCCAAAAACGAGTTTTACTTGTCAACGGCAGATGTTTGTCAATAGGTGGATAGATAATGGAACGTTGAACCATAGATGTACATATATCTGCACACGTCTCTACCATATAGCCATTAGACAGGTGGACAAATTCCTATTTGCGCTGCGGGCGCCCGCTCGTATGCAACAGATTTTCTACCGAGTTCTACTTTATGTTGAAACTATGGCAGCTGTAGTCGCAGCATCCGCAACAGTTACAAAAAATAGGAAAAAGAAAACAGGCACAAATCGAACCAGACGAGCTGTCACACATCATTTGCATATTTTCAAAGCATCTCTCAAGGTAGTTCTAGGAATTATGTCACACCCATTGCACTGGAATGGACGAACCACCATGGGGCATTTGACTTGTCAACTGCAGCAGTATGTCAATAGACCGCGATAAAGGAACGTTGAACTTCCGTAGATGTGTATATCTACACACACACACTACAACATAGCCATTACATTTCGCACACTTTGACTTCAGGTGGACAACAAAGTTTCTACGAAGCTCTACTTTATGCTGAATCGACAGCATCTGTAGACACAGCATTCGCAACAGCTGAAAAGAGGAAGAAAAAAACGGCCACAAATCGAACGAGACGAGCTGTCACACACCATTGGCATATTTTCAAAGCGTCGCTTAGGTTATCTCCTGGAGTTATGTCATACCCATTGCACTGAAATGGACGAACCACCATGCAGCATGTTCTCATGCATGTACATATGTGTCTGTGCGTGCGTTTGTCTGCAACAACGAATGCTTATAAGTATCCATTCGAAAAAACCCCCAAAAAAAAAAACCAACAACAAAGAAGCTATCCATTGTAAATGCGGCATTTCCATCAATTGGATCCTTTGCTTTAGAATTTCATCGCGTTCGTCTGATATCTCCTGCAAATTAAGTCACAAAGGATGTATTTTGGCGTTTGAAAACTGTTGGACAACGTGGCATACGCATTCTTCGAAAAATTTGTTTGTTGTTTGATCTACATTAAATGAAATAATCAACGAATAAGTATTTAGTTAACAGATAAACATTTAATTTGCAAGATATAAAAAAATGTGGACTTTTATGATAATTTTTAGTTGTATGCAAGAACTGTATTACTATAATTCGTTAAGATTTGAATACACAATACTTTAAAATTCGGCTAATAATGCTAAAACCCCTTGCTCTCAACAGGCTTTTAAAAAACAAGAGAGAACGCTACAGTCGAGCAAGCCCGACAGTAAAATAACCTGTACTCTCCACAAAAAAGAAAAATTAAAAAAAAATTAATTTATTAAAAAAACTTAAATTATTAAACAAATTGAATTAATAAAGACAATTTATTTAATACATACATAGAATACATGTTTATGTACAGTTTCAACAGCATACATAACGTGTCTATGCGTGTTTATATGCGTGTATGTATGCAGCACAAAGTTGTATCCGAAAAAAAAAACACAAACTCGATCTGCCTAGGGCAACTATTGTAGTTGCTGAGATCGTTACGCTCATACAGACAGACGGACGGACGGACTGACGGACATGGCTATATCGACTTGTCTTGTTATCCTGATCAATAATATATATACTTTGTGGGGTCTGCCACGCATCCTTCTGTGTTACATACATTCGCACAAAACTAATATAGCCTTTTACCCTTTGGGTACAGGCTATAAAAAGTTAATCCTTTGCTTTAATAAAAAAAAACTATATCAAGAGTCTAAGAATTTTTCATGCAGAGGTTAATTGCTCCGAAATTTGTGTTCTTTTTTCGAAATACGACTAAAATAGCTAAATATGTTGTTTGTGAGCATTTGGAACTGTTAAATTTGATTTGGCCCCCGATATTTTAATAGAGTTCCCGCGTATTCGAAAAAGGTTTAACATCGTTAAATATCGATACAACGATACATCCACGGGTATTGGTAGCACTGCGTATTGACATCCGTATACTGGCAACACTGCGCACTACCGCAGTCTAGTGAAAAGAGCAAAAGGTATTTAATTAATTTGTTAATAATTTTGCAAAAGTATAGGCGGCCCTGTGAAGATCTAATAGGTAAGTTTATCTTTCACCAAGTAATCCCTTTCTTTACTAAGAAATGAAACACACGGCCTTTCTTTTCGCAACTCAAGAGCGCACGAGCAAGGCAAAAACAATACGAAAAAAAGAAGACAACGCGACAGCAACAAAAGCCAAACGAAAGGTGACGACGCAAGCAAACGAGAAAAATTTAATTAAGATACAAACAAGGTAGGCCACGAAAGTAATTGGAATTTCTTGCGACAGTGGACGTTTTCGTACATATAACTCAAGTCATATTAAAATAATATTAAAGTGTGAAAATTTGAAAAAAGAAAAATTTTGCTCCGAATAAAAGTGTTACAGAGGCAAGAAACAAAATGTCCGCGGCCGTGACCGAAGTGGCGTCTTTGGAGCCTGAATGTGATTTGCATTTTTAATTGCTCTTGCTCTCGATTTCGCTTGTTTTTTGCATTATGTATATTGTATATACATATATTACAAAATTTCTTTCATGCTTTGTTTCATTTCGCAGTCTTTGAAACCGACGACGCCGCCACCACCACCGCCATGTCATGTCGCGCCACCTTTCAACCGGACGATCAGTACGAGTCGTTACGTCGCCCCAATTTGGACGCAGCAGCAGGCTCCTCTACAGCTGGGGCGCCATCCCATCTGGCTTCCTTACCTATGGAGCCACATGCTCAACTGTATGGCGACTTTGCGGCTCCAGGATCCGTTGCCTATCAGGCTTCCGGTTATGCACCCAGCCCAGCTGTGGGGTACCCTAATCCTATCGTTCAAGCCCAAGTGCCACTAGTGGCTGAAGTGGCAGGCGGCTACTCGCAATCTAAGCTCTCGGCCAGTGCGACCGCTTTCGTGCCAAACCAGGCGGCCAATGTGGGTGGAAAACGTGGTCCGACACAGCAGCAGCTGCCTCAGCAATATCAGCATCAAGCACAATCGCATTCACAGCAACATTGCTATGTAAATGGCTATAAACAACAGCAACATTATAATCATCATCACCAGCAGCAACAGCAGCAATATAATAATGGTATTCAACAGCTATCAAATTCGGTACAGGCACGTTTGCATATTAGCAACAAGCAGCAGCAGGCTCATAATGGCGGTGCGGGCAATTACTATCAGCAACAGCAGGTACAACACCAACGTCATACACCACACCAGCAACAACAACACCAGCAGCAGCAACACAAATTCCATCGTCATGCTCATCTTAATAATTCATTACAACAACTACAGCAGCAGCAGCAACAGCAGCAGTATTTCCATACTCAATCGCAGTCACATCAGCAGCAGGCACAGCCGCAACCATCAACTTCATCGGCTTCAGCAGCCTCTTCGTCGGCCAATTCACATCCGGACATGCAAACCATTGCGCTGGAATATCTCGATACTGTCATTCATTGCCTTAATCAGAATCCTGGCCAATTCGATAAAATTGCATCGCGCTTCCTAACCATATTTGATGGTATGGAGAACAATAACTATGTGTTGTCGATTGCCATGGAGGATATATTTGAGAAATCGATTGAGCAACCCAATTTCCGTTATATGGGCGCCAAATTGTACAATCTATTGCATATGTTGAATCTCAAGCCGGACTCGTTGTTCCATACGCTGCTCAAGTGTAAGCTTGTTTATCATCAGGCCGAGGTGGCCAAGTACATGAAATCCACGGAGCAACAGCAGAAGGTTCGGGAGACGGCTCTTTTCTTGGCTGAGTTATATATGCAGCTCCGTGGCGATGATGCACGTATAACACTTATTGCCGAGAACATTGTGTACTCTTTGAGTCAGTTGATGGATCGCGAATCTGCCGAGAATGTGCGTTGCATTTGTCAGACTCTGAAGCTTGCTGGATATGACTTAAGTGTCGATTGTCCTCAGGATATGCAGAGTATCATTTCATCATTGCAAGCGGTCGAGGCAAAGGCGCCAGGTAAATATCCCATGGCCGCTAGTGTAATTGCCTTGCAGCAGAACAACTGGGGCCGTAAGGTGTCCAATGCTCTTGGTGGCGATGATGATTCTGTGGCTAAGCCCCCGGAGCCGCCACGTTTGAGTGACGAACCGGTGTTTTATGGCCCGGATGGACGTGAGCTGACTGCTGAGGAAACCGATTTTTTGGCCGCCGAGGATGATGCTGGAAGTGATGCCGACGATTACGATGATGTACGCGATGGTGACTTAGATCTCGATCCCGAAATGGATGAGGAATCTGAGCGCGCGTATAAAGATTTTTGTAAGCAAAATAACCAACAGCTGAATAAGAAATCTTAGAAGACAGTGAGACGAAGGCTTGTTGTTGGCATGGGCGTGGCAGTTTAGGTGTGCAAATTATACATACAATTATAAAAATTAAAAAAAAAAGCAATTTTACAACGTCGGCAAAAATAATACTTGTGAATGATTTGCGCATTTATTGATTATTGAGAAGAATTTATAATTATTTATGGTTTTTAAATGTTCATTGACAAATTATTTGTGATATTTGCGTTCTGTGCTTCTATTTACTTATATATCAATTTAAAATTGTCGTCTATAATGTGATAACACACTATATATTTAAATAGTGCCCGCACATTAAGCAGCAGTCCTTGTTCCTCACGAGCTTTTTAAAACTTAAACATTTCTCCTTTTTCTACAAAGGAAAAAACATTTTAATAACTTTATGCCACTGCCACGTCCATGTTTATCAACACGGCCGCATCTAGAGACTCATGCACACTTACATTATAGAATTCATAAATGCAACAAATCACAATTTTGCATTCGATTATTAAATAAAAAAAGCATTCTCTTGTTTGCGTTTTCAAAAACGCCCAATTATAAACGATCATATGCATCTTCAATAAAAATAATAATAATAAAAAAAAACAGCCGTTGCTGCACGCTTAATTTTTTAATTAATTGTAATTAATGTTAAAAGAAATGATTTAAATTTAAATAAATTGTAACAAATTGCGTTTAAATTCCAAAAAAAAAAACGAATCGAATTTCTTAATTTTCAGATTTTAATTTCTGTCAGATATCTATAAAAAATTGTTTGCCCATTCCAGTTTTGAAAACGGTTCATAAATTACATGTACGTAATAAAGTTATTTTAAGTTTATATATCTGATTTGAAAAATAAATAAAAGATTACAACATACATATATTCGAACCCAATTACTGTCAATTACATTCATCGAAAGCATATTTGTAAGAACTCATCTGCTTTTTGTTGTTGTTGACCGTAAATTAGTATTTAAATCTTTGACACCATTCATGGTTTAAAACAATTATTCGATTTATTTAGTCGAAAAGCCATCGAATTTGGTGACACATCCCACTTGCAGTGTGACCAAGAGTAAAAAATATCGAAAGTATACATATATCGATATAATATCAACAATTTAGTTGTGAACGTCGAGCGGAGTGGAATGCGCATAGAACGCGAACGCAGGGCGAAATAAAATAAAATAACACATATTTTCGTTGGTGCTGTAATGTGAGGAGAAGATAATGGTGTGTAATTAAAAATGTGCATGGTGTTGCAAAACTTAAACTCGTATCTGCATGTGTAAAAAATAACAGCAAAGCGTGACGTCATATTTGAACTATAAAAAATTGTGCTTAAATATTTGCTAGCATATTTGTGTGTGCGCGTGTGTAGTTTGTGTGTGTTTGCGAGGCAATGACAACGCGGAGTCAAAATAAAACGACAAAAAGCGAATTTTGCGAATAAAATGGATATTTTTATTTATATAAATGCACCACAAGAATAGCAATGAGTTCGTTTCGTTTGTTAAATTTAACATTTGAATGTGAAAAATAAAAAAGACAAGCAACAAAGTGACAAGCAAAGGTCACAAAAACGGAATGAAAATACGCACATACACATACTATGACTACTACAGACTGTATGTGTGTGTGTTTTGCAGACAACAAAGCCACCGACGGGCTTTCAGAGAACTGTTTAAAATTAATTTGTTTGTCTCGCTTTTTTAAGTGTGTGTGTTCCTTAATAAAAATCCAGCACTGCTGATGTGCGTATAAACGTTATGAATCATGTTTCAATATTGCTAAGCTTGCAATTGTTGATTTGCTACTCAGCTAGCCAGCCGGCTACAGTTTTGTATTTGTGTGTGTCTTTCTGTGCACCTGTCCTGCCACCTTTTTACCTGGCCTGACCCTGCCCGCTCTTTCCTACCTTGCAACGCCTCTGCTCATTTTATTTATAGTCTTTTAAAGGACCATCGTCTGCTTGTGTAGCTTTAATTCACCGCTGCTGTCGTTGCTGCGGTTCTTGTTGTTGTTGCCAGTGTTCCTTCCTACCTCTCGTTGGTTCAAAACAAAAGGCATCAAATAAATTGCATGCTCTGCTTTGCGTCTCTTTTGAATTTGCATTGTTCTTACTCTTCCATAAATTGTTCATTGTCACTGAGAGGTAGAGAAGGAAATGAGTGTGTTGCACGGAGGGGAACAAAATGTGCAAACATTTTTTTAAATATTTGTTTTCTTGTAACAAGTTGTACAAAATGAATTTTGTGAAAACATATTTATGTAAACAATCGTTTGAACATTCCTTTGAGCACCATCAAGAGCCCCTAAAATGGCCCAAATTTTGGGATACTATTTGCAAAAGCTCTTAAACACAGCAATGAATAATATGATGATGATGTGCAATACAACAACTTGGACATAATCCACACCAAGCAAGTGCTCGAAGAGAGCGGTTAAAAGTCACCTTAACAGCATTCAAAATAATTTGACAAGCATTGAAACTATAGCTACACACATACATACATATGTATGTACATACATATGTATGTACATACATATGTATGTACGTATGTACATATGTGGCAGACTCGCTTACTTTATTATAAGCAGCTCGTCGCCGGACTGCTAATTAAATCGGAAGAACAACAATAAAACGCAGCTAGAAAAGAAGCGGGTATGGCAAACATATGAAACACCGGGAACAACAACTACAATAATATAAAAAAATAACAACAAAAAGCACCGCGTTGGTGATGTCCGCGGCATATGTTTGTGTGTTTCAACTTGTAAGCAATACTCATCATTAAACACGCACAGCAACAACAACAACCAGAGAAAGAACAACGATATTCGTAACTGGACTGCAACTAAACCGTTTCGTGACTTGTTTTGGGTGCAGCATAAACTGTAACCACAAAAGCAACCAAATTCTAAACTCAACAACGAAAATCGTTTACCCTCGGCCCGCCCCTGCACTTATAAACTAAACTCGGAATGGGCAGTGTGTGGAAACGTTTGCAACGAGTCAACAAACGCGCGGCGAAATTTCAATTCACTGCCTCGTATCATGATCTTCGTCTGGAAACCACCGCCAAATGGTAAGTGGAAAGAATTTTTACAATACGCAACAACAACTGCACATGCAACCTATAATCTTTCGTCCGATTAATTTATGTTTTGTGTTACATAGTTCGGCTTCTTTTATAAGCCTACAATAGGTATTCGCAGAAAGAGAATAACTTAAGATATGGCCAGATAGACAATTATTCATTTACCCATAAATTTATTGGCGTTCTACAACTACAGGCCAACTTGCAAAAACTCGAATTATTTGTACGTCCAGTTCGTAGGACTACTTAAATTTCAGATATAATACTTATAATAAATAATATAATATAATACCAATATATTTTTTGAAATATTATTTAATCTGTATTGAACATAAATCATTCGACTTAATGTTAACATTTGCTACAGCTATATAAATATACATATGTAGTACTACGTAATATTGATATACAAACTCAATTGAGAGTTAGCTTTTATTTTGGGTTCCAAAAGTTGTGTTTCCAAGCGTTCACTGTAAGTCTGCACTTCCTGTTGAGGCTTCATAATATGTTCTTGGATGTGCATACAAGTACATATGTAAGTGTGCATGCAAGCTGAATTTAAATGATTAAGTCGGCAGCTGCTTATCGAAGAACTACGGCCTTTGTTGCCTTTATCTGTCGAACATGCCACCACCCGTAGCCGCCACTGGGTGGTGATGGAATTTTCTTTCTTGGTGTCGGCCTCAGCATTTTTATCTATATAGTACATTCACTTGCGCTGCTAAAATTGTTTACAAAAATACAGCATGGCAGCGAAATTAAAAGCTAACATTCAGCTTTTAAAAATAAATTGCTCTTACTTTGAAAAGTCGCCAATTTGGCAAGCAAACGCAATCGAAATTATTTGTTAGGGAGCAGATGTATGTATGCACGTATGTATGCATTAACAAAAGCCAGAAGAGAGAGAGAGAGAGAGAGATAATGAGAAATGTATTTCATAAAAATGTATTTTTATGATGATTATATTTAATGTTTATCAGCTGCAAATTTGTGACGTACTATGGTTAAAAGTCAATATTAACAAACAATTGTTCATTCAATCACACGCCATAAAAACAAATAAAGGCATTATAGCCACTAACAGCTTTTGGCGCTTTGACAAGAAAACAGTTAATATTCTTCTGCACCAAAATGAAAAAACTCTGCAACCCGATAAAATTTGTACACTTTAAATACAATTAATAAATATAAACAGATATACACCTAATTCGGTTTTTACACGGTGTTTTTTTGCACGATTTTGATATAACACGGTTTGAAAATTAAAAATTTCATATATATTTCTTTCTATTTTTGCATATGGTCAATGTTTTTTTTAAACGGTTGTTTCTGGAACCAATCGACCGTGTAAAAACAGAATTAGATGTATAGCCATCTTAGAAGCTATCAACATCTTAAAAACAGAAAGCGGAATATCATCTATGCTCAGACTCATTATTTGCACTAACATCTATTTAAAAATGTGGGAAACTATTCGTAATCTTCTCATGCGTTTTCCGAATAAATTTAAGCTTATACTATATAGAGCCACAAGCCACAACGATAACTTATTGACTTAGGCGTCATTTATGTATGTTCTTTGTTTCTATGCAATATTCAAAGAAATATGATACACATATTACAATAATTTGGATCGAGAGGATTTTAAAGTTAAACTTATTTAAATAGTGAATCAATTTGAAAGAAGTTTATTAATACTTCAATAAACTTCTAAAGTTTCGCAAACTCAAAAAAACCTATAAATTCTGAAAAATCGCCAAATTGCTCTGAATACTGAATAGTCTTCTAAAAAGTTGCTCACGAAAGCAGCTATAATTTGTAAATGTAACTGTAAAATCATGAGCACTATATGTTTTTGGTAGCATGCTGTAGTTTGAATTCCAACAGCATTTACTTACGAGTACATAATGCAAACGGCAAGTGCTAACAATTGCGGTTTCTCAATGAGTTGCAAATTGGAAAGATAATATCAAACCGAAACATGTAAAATTGAGCAAACAGCTGCTGTCAGTTATTTTGTAGGCTAAAACGCTGAAAAAGTTGGCAGACAGTGCAGTAATAGGCATACATACTATATACCATATGCATACATATATGTATAGTTTGTATTCATATGTTTTTGTTACTGCTGTGCCTACTACTGTAAGAGGTTTTTGTGGTTGAGCCAATTTCGAAATTGAAATACTATAGCGTATGTATCTATCTGATAATATGGCAATTGATAAGTTCAGTCAAGGTATGAGCTCTCGCGCTCTTGTTACAACAACATATAAATTTAACAAATTCATTGCCATAGCAAATATGAAAACAATTTAAATGAATTGGCACACATGCCAATCAATTCTTGAGCCTCTGTATCAGACGACGCAAATGTGTAAATTGAAACGTTGCCATAAAGTAAAATTAACTTAAAATCATAACAAATGCATGTATTCGCACTTTGTACATAGCATATACATATGTATGTATAATTTGTTTTTGTATAAACTATACATGTCTATACATATGCATAGTATATGGCTATGAAATCATCGCTCGTTATGGATATTGTTGGACTTTAAGGCGAGACAATACTTCGAATATACTCGTATGTATATACATACATAGAACAAGATGTTGAAAAATTTAAAAATTAATTAATAGAAAGTGGGATGTGTGGAAGTCTTTAAAATCTAGTTACTTTTATAGTATATAGTACGACTATGTTGTATGTGTACATATGTATAAAGGGAAGGCATTTATTATTTAATTGATATAATTCTAAGCTTTTCAAGTACATTTTTGAGTTATATAAATATACTTGTATATATCAAAAATAGTTCTTTCAAATTCTGTCTGTAACTACTCATTAAATAAAATGTTGTTTTAAAAATGATCTGGAACTCGAAAAATAAATGCGATCCCCATAAAACAACATAACTCTTTTGAAATTAAAGTTTTGTAATAACAAATGGAATATTTTTGTTTGTTTAGTTGAGTCCTGATTTACGATTTATTTATTTATAATATTTTTTCAAATTGGGTGCTTTTCGATATCCTTTCTAAGCCGTCACATTTGTGAATCCTTCTCAAGGGCACAGTCAAGTCCAGTGCTCGGTAATGTCACTTGAGCCTGCCACAAATCGACAAACAGGGAAGGAAAACCTCGGTGGGGAACACATTACAGTAACAGCTCGGTCTGGGCATTGCAATGGAGCAGTCCACTCCATTTGCATTTGAGCCGCCGCCACATAAAAGAGCTGCAAATGTTATTGACATTTGAAAACCGTTAATGGCTCTTGCGTTGCTTTGCGCCAAAAACAAGAAACGTACCACAGAGGAGCGTTCAAAGTGGTTACATGGATGTGGACGGGGGATAGGGGGCGAGCAGCAGTTATTGTTTACTTGGGAGGGTTCAATCCGACGACTTAAGGGTTGTTTTAGCATTGAACAAACGCCGGCTGTGTTTAATACCTGTAGTTGTTGAGAAAAGGAGAAGGAGGAATCAGAAGGGGTGGGACAATGTGACTCACACAACAAATCGGCAATTTGAATAAAGGTAATGGACATACATATATACATTCATAGTTGTATGTATGTAAATACGATCTGTCTGGCTCGACCTGATTGTGTTTATGTCTGGCGCCCCAAAATGTTAGACAAACAATTTAATTTGCACGCAATTTTTGGCATTTCTAATTAGGCTTCGCACTAGAAAGTTGAGTACGACTTACCATTGAGAAATATAGTATACCATGCCGCCTCGCAGTTCTCAGAAAAACTGAGCAATGCGCACAAAACGCCCACCACCGCATGCGGAAAATTCATTTTCCAGCAATTTGCCGCACTCAATGAGTTGTAATTGATGTCTGCAGGGACAATGACGACACCGACGAGACTACGACCAAGACCAAGAGGAAGAAGAGGATAACAGGGAGGTTCTCTTCGTCTCTGCTGTACATATGCCGGCGCATTGGGTTAGCTGCCTTATGTGGGTGTATTTGCAGTGTGTGTGGGCCATGTGCCAAAAAGTAAAACCAGTCGGTCGCCTTTCTGACTGCTAGGTGTGAATTTTTATATGCGTCCATGATGATATTGCGTCTGCAACATTGCCTCAAACTGCTGCCTCAAAATCGATCGATTAACAACACAAACAGGGACGGTGACAGCGCCAGCGACGGCTACTGCGACTGCGACAATGAGAATACTTACGGACACGTTGCGTTTCATTGCGGCGTGTATAAAACATGAAAATCGATAAACTGGCGTGTAATGTGTATTATGTACATACATATATACATATGTATGTGCATTATATTAATCAAGTTTTGTGTGTGTGTGAGCGTGCTTAGGAAGTGGTTGTGTTTATTGTGATATTAAAACGAAATCAAATAAGACCGAGCGAACGTCGCAATGTCGCTATACTGCCCTTCATGGCAACATGGCTCTGCTTTATACTTGTGTTTATACCCTTTACTTGTACTATAAGCTAAGAAAACATGAAAGATCTTCGATTAAAAATCGCGATAAAAATACTTTTTAAAGGATTTGAAACCTGAATAAAATAAGAGCTTAAAAAAGTAAATATAAATGAAATAAATAGAACGAAATAAGACTATTTAATTAAAACAAAAAGATGTAAACCGATCGCTACATATGCTCTACAATTATTGTAGAAGAGATAAGGAAATACCAGGTTGCTTTCAAAAAATATTTCGATATATATTATTATGTTAAAATCAAATCATATATTATTATGTTAAACACTACAGCTTTAAATAGTTTATGTATATATGTATTTAAAATGAAAATTGTTTTATATAAAGCAAATATAGTATTTAAAACTCAGGCTGCATCAAAAATCGGTCCGCACAATTTATATTTTTCTTTTTAAAAATAACGGAGCGCATCAAATTGTTAGATTATTTTGTGTTTTCCAATTTGTTTTCTAGCTTGAAGGGTGGCCTTTTGTCACACCCGCTCCACAATTCACTGCTCTAGCTAGCATG